GATTATGGCCAGCTGCACCCTAATGATATAAACCAATCATCTGATCTTGATCATGATAGGCGATTGGCTTGTGGTGCAGCAATCCATCTGAGGGTTCCGACTTCCGACTACTGCTCGGGTATTTGGGGTCCAAGTCCCCAACGTTGAACCAATAGCTTTTCGCATCGCTGAGGGCCACAAGAGCCGGGCAGAGGTGGAGATAGTCTCCTTTGACTAGTGACGTTCCTGGACCGGAGTAACTTATGCCTTATCCATCCGGTTACCCGCAGATCATACCCACTGTGTATTTTTATTTGTCTCTGGCGAAACCTGCATACGGCCAGGCCAGAAATGCAAGCGAGGCGCTCCTGTATGTTGTGCATAAGGCATTTGAACCGACAGGCAACCCCGACTGCAGCAAGCAATCCTAAGAATTCAGGAAACACTGCATCTGAGTAGCTCGTGGCTGAGATAAGACATCACAACCCTCGTGGTCATATTATCCCGACAAACGGCTCACCAAAGGGATATTCTCCGCCTGAGCTGGGCGACGGTGCCTGTGCATAGCGTGCGAGCGGCTGAGGAAATGTGCTGCCATTAGGTGCGCTGTGTTTCTTGCGACGTGCCACCGGCTTTGATTTCGGCTGATCCTAGTAAAAACCGTGGCTTTCATACCATGGTTTTGATTTGGAGGACTGTACTGTGCAGTCGTATCCCCAGGCTACTGATTACAAATCGTTTTACCTTGTTGGCCGCTCATGAATGTCACAAATATGTATACGGCCCTAACTCATCCTGCCGCATTTCATAGATACGGTTTCTTTTTGGCACTGCTGCAGCCGGTAATGCCGCCGTTGGTGTCGCCCCCAAATCCATCACGTCGGCGGCCCAGTTTTTGCGGAGCCGCGCCGCATCCCCGCGTGACTCGCTCGTGCGAATTCGCAGGAAACAAGCCGCTCTTCTTTTCGGGTGAACCGGTCCGCCGATAGGCATCGCGTGTGATCGTTCTTCATCGGAAGCGGCCGACGGCTGTCGATTGGGGGAAAACTGCAGCGCTCAGCCCGAGGGTCGCGTTCACTTTCCCTTCCGCGGTGTCCTGCTGTTGTCATTGATGAACTGCCGCTGCGTCCGCCTCGTGCACGAAGGGCTCGTGGCTGGGCTTTCGGTGAGCTGCGACGCTCGGGACAGAGTGCAACGAACGGAGCTAAGTGCAGTGCAAGCACGAGTACGACCGCCGCGGTTCGTCGCGTTAGCGCATCCAGGAATCGAACTTTAGCCCCGACGGCCGCATTGTACTTGCCTGTCAGCTGAGGGGATTCGCCGCATGGGGCACTCGCAGGTCACGCAGGGCTTGCGTGCGGAAGAAGCGGGATGTAAGGACCAGTCTCACGATGGCACTGAGTCCTTAGCAGGAATTCCACAGGAACTTCGACCTCACAGTGGCAAGGCCATGACAGTGGCAACGAGCTCACAGTCGCATCACTTTGCCGCGGACCAGACGTCCGTTATTGGAAGGTCAACAGCGATCTGCGAAGCAGGTGGAAGATCAATGAAAAGGGCGAGAAAATGCCCCCGTAATTGTGCCTTTGTACACTCGCTTCTTGATTAGGTTTGCAATTTCACTTTCCCTGGCACAGGTGATGTAGTTCCCTCCTTTCCTCTCCGGAGGTACCTCCAAATGGTTTGGCTTTTCACAATAAGATGCGGGAAGTATACTTTCAAAGTTGTTCGCTCATAAAGTGCAAATTTTAAGTACGTCCCATGCCATTTAGCCGAATTTTGACTTCCCTCTAAAGCATTTGCACCGCGAAAATGTAAAAACCATCGCTTCTTAGGGTTAAATGCACCCGCAATAAATCTCGTACCCACACGCTGGTGCTGGAATTTTGTAAAGCGTTACATCGGGAGCGTCATTCATTGACTGCCATTGGTGCCGGGGGCCACTGCCAGGTGCGTTTAAAGTCAAGGTTACATCGTGTCAAATTTTGAAATTGGCGTCAACTCAGGCCTCCAAAAGCACTACATTAAGAACCAAAATGACCATGATATGTGAGCGGTCATGAGAGTTCAAAGTCCGTCACCACAAATAAGATCTTAAATTTTAACTTCTTCTGAGAGACCTTCACAGATTGCACAATACCTTCACTGCAGATGATCTCCGTGCAGTCATTCATTGGCATGGAGCGACCTTGAATGACCTCACAACAGCCCTTTAAAAGTAGTTGGTGGAATGCTTTGACTTACATAGATCCGTTTTGTTAAGCGCGCACATACGAAACTAGACGCAGACTGCAGACTACAATCGTGAAGTTTGACCCCGTTTGACAGGTCCTGACAGGTCACCTGTTGGGCGTATTGTAAGTTGACCGAGGGGAATGTGGGTCACATGCGGGGTGTGGTCTGTCCTTAGAATTTATTTGCAGCACGCCGGGCGTGGCACCGGCGGGGGCGTCGTACCCCGCCACACCTTCAAAGGTGACGAAATATCAAGGGCTGGGGGCGTTAGATATTCCCCGGCACGGGGCGTGGGCGTGCCACTGCAATTCGATGAACCAAAGGATTCTGGTCTTGCACTTTACAGATGCCTCTTTTGTTTTCGACGAATGTCCTATGGTCATGTCACTGTCGGCAGAATTGGCTGCGTACGATTGCTGAGCGCTGGGAAGTGTAGGTGCCCTGGCCTCGGGAATGAGTGAGCGTTGGTCTCGTGATCATATTCGAGTCCAGGCCATGTGGATTATTTTGTCTAGCTTGTGCACAAAGCCGATCCGCAACTTCTGCCACGGAGGGAAGTTGACATTTCGGCAGGTGCGGCAGGGTGTGGCAAGGTGTGGCATGTGCGGCAGGGTATGGCATGTGCGGCAGGGTGTGGCAGAGTGTGGCATGTGCGGCAGGATGAAGCATGTGTAGCTGATTTATGAGAGGTCTCTTTTTGTTTGAGTCACTTTTTCGCTCATCTGTCTGTGATTTCCTTTTGGCCTCATGTTTTTCTTGTTGGACTGTAATGATTCTGCAGTGGTGTGCCCCTACAGCAGACCCAACGACCAACAGAAGGGGCTGACCATCTGTTGCTATTGCAATTAAAAGGTTTCCGTTCGTTCCGTCGCGGTTGAAGACAGACTGTAATAGTCGCGTTGTTGCATTTCGGGTGGTTGTGTTTTGTCCGTGGTGAAAGACTGCTTTGTATTTATCGATATTAAGTAAAATAAGATTTCTGCTTTTCCTGTGAAACGAAAAATTGGTAAATTTTTGTTGAAGTCCGATTATCAACTGGCACTGGCTCAACCCATATTTGCATCCAAAATTGCACTAAAATACTGACGCTGTCATGACGCACTCAACGGACTCCGTGTCACCACTAATCCGGGCCTAATGTCATCCATGCAATCACGAACGCAAATGTCAAACAGTGAGCCACGCGTCCTTGGTACCAAAGCCGAACCACCCATCCGACAAAGCCGTCCGGAAAATGCTCCCGTAAAGCGTGCTGTCTTTAACGAGGAAAGGCGTCGCTGCACCACGCGCTTATTGTCTGCAGTTGGCGATCCTCCGGCGCCGAGCCAGGGCCCGTTTTCCCCGGGCCCTGGCTCGGCGCCGGCACGGGACCTGAATCGGCAGAAGGACACTCTTTTCACGTGCCTGACGGCTTTTTACGCTGTCGAAGCGGGCGACCTGCGCTAAACTGAGCGGGAAAACGGCCCGGTCCGTTGGTGACGCACGCGCTCCTACGCAAGGTTACATTATACATGATTTACATGAATATATAAACGTTGTTCATGAATACCGATATATATATATATATATATATATATATATATATATATATATATATGTGTGTGTGTGTGTGTGTGTGTGTGTGTGTGGTGTGTGTGTGTGTGTGTGTGTGTGTGTGTGTGTGTTGTGTGTGTGTGTGTGTGTGTGTGTGTGTGTGTGTGTGTGTGTGTGTGTGTGTTGTGTGTGTGTGTGTGTGTGGTGTGTGTGTGTGTGTGTGTGTGTGTGTGTGTGTGTGGTGTGTGTGTGTGTGTGTGTGTGTGTGCGTGTAGCAAGTGAAATAGACACACCCTCATATACATGGGTGTGTCAATTAGATTTGTCAATTGGGTGTCATTATATGGTTGCATGCTACATATACGAATATTTGTGTATATCTATAAATATAGCAATTGAAAAGACATGCCTATACACACGCGTTATATATATATATATATATATATATATATATATATATATATATATATATATATGTATATATATATGATGTGGGGAATATGGGCTGCGTGCGCGTGTTTTGGTATGGAGTTTATGCGCTGCGTGCACACTCATGCGATGCGTGACCGTGTGCATCGCCACCGTCCCACGTGTGGCGGCCGTTCGTCAGGACTGCCCAGCCGTGCGGCATCCGGCCACGACCGAGCCACTGGTGGCAGAGAAAAATGGAAACAGCTTAGGGAAAACACGAAATAGACCATTGTCATCTATTTTTGACACGAGCTGGCGATAGTCTTGATCCAACAATAACGGGAGAGACGACGTGAGCGGGGCTCGGGCAAATTTATGTGAGCTCCTACCCTGTCAAAGCTTTCCGTGAAATTAAAAAAACAAGTAATTGAAAAAGGAAAAAAACGCAAGAGAAGCGACAAATCGAAATAAAAGATCATCATCAATGCTAAAAAAGATCCCGATTATTAAGGGGAAACAAAATCAAGCTGCATTTGAGATCAAACAAAATAAATGTCTGCGAAGTGAAAGTAAAGGTTTTTGTTTATTTGCCGACGTGACGGGGGTCGATATCTTTCTACACATGAGTGACTACTTACATGAGTTGAAATGCATCAAAGATTAATTAAAAACATGTTGCTTATTACATTTATTCGAACATGTTTACAAATGTGGGTGGTATTACCTTGCTATGCTGTAACCGGTCCTGCAAATGATGCTACGAAACGAACGAATTTGACCTTTTTGCCATTTGTGCATTTAAGATGACTGTAAAACAGCATTTCTGACCATCGTTGAATTGATGGGGCCTTCCTAATCTGAGACGAAATCCAGCCAAAGTTCATGTTCAGCTAGAATAAACTGTCCGCATTATGGATATGATTCATCAATTTTTTCGATTCGAACGGTTCATTTCGAATTCGACACAACCGACAATTTGAATTCGAACCAGACTCATCGAAATCGACATCGTACGATTTCATCGGCACGATGAAAACACAGCTTTAAATTCTGATGTGTCTTGGTGTCACACATTCTCAGTGTACAGATACGTCACAAATTGCTACGAGTTCTCGAAACACGTGGCACCTACGAGCACACACGTGATCTAAGTAAAGTCACAAGTCACCCGGTTTCTAGCGAACAAATATAGGTGGAATGGTTAGAGCACTGACGCCGTCTTGGTGTAGCGGCATTGCTGCGATAATGCGGCGGCAGGGTGCGCATCAGCTGTCTGCAGGGGACAAAGCCTAATACTGCCGCCACGCGAACAGCGCCGTCCCGCCCATCGCAATCCCAGCTCGGCGCATTTTGAACGGACCCTCACGTTTACACATGGCATACGAGCAGAACCGGACAGCACCCTATGTGATAGCATGACATTCTTCGTCACATCATCACGTCATATCACATTTTCCCATCACACCTCACCTCGCGTCGTGTGAGGGAGGGTAGCGTATCACAGACAGCACGGTCACGTGACCACACGTTCGCCACACATTTTCCAGTCGACAAACTCCGCACGAAATTACTATGCTGCAGTGAAAGCCCTTAGTGCTAAATGATGAATTTGATGCAACGTCATCGTGGACAGAATGACGTAGATGGATAAAGCAGGCAGTGAAGAGAATAGAACCTGCAAACAAGGAAAGCCCGACATCAGTGCCCCATATTCCATAGTTGAAGACATGCTAGACTAGGTTACACCGTTTTGATAGACTAACAAACACATTCTGACGGGTAAGAGACGCAATCTATTCCAAGGACACCATTTTACAATAATCTGTTCAAACCACTTCTATTCGCATAAATTATCCTTCAACAGCTTGCGGTGATCGGGTGCTCACCGTGTTGGGTCCTTCTGCTTGTTGAATGTCTCCAGGTTGATGACATTCTCTTCTTCCCCGTCGCTGGCATAGCTGAACGATATCTAAAACGACACAGCCGTTTAATCAGATGCAAGAAGGCAGTACGGCGCTGCTCAATCACGGCTGACGGTCCTCGTTTCTCACTAACGGTGGTGACTGAAATGACGGCATATCACTAGTGGACGCACAGATAACTGTCACAGGCATTGCGTATTTGAAAGCGCCGCAAGAAACGTAGGACTGAAAATGACGGAAGTTAAAACTTAAGAACTGGAGAAGACGGCATGACGACGAAAGGACAAAACAGCGGCGTTCATGATGTATGCGCCTGGCGTTGTGCGCGCCTTCACACCTCTCCAGATCCTTGATGACACTTCTCACGCTGCGTCCATGGCAGCGATCATTGATGACAACCTTGGAGACCTGCACTGCTACCAGCAGAGAGAGAGAGAGAGGGAGTGTGGGAGAGAGGGAGTGTGAGAGAGAGGGAGTGTGAGAGAGAGGGAGTGTGAGAGAGAGGGAGTGTGAGAGAGAGGGAGAGTGTGAGAGAGAGGGAGAGTGTGAGAGAGAGGGAGTGTGAGAGAGAGGGAGTGTGAGAGAGAGGGAGTGTGAGAGAGAGGGAGTGTGAGAGAGAGGGAGTGTGAGAGAGAGAGAGAGAGAGAGAGAGAGAGAGAGAGAGAGAGAGAGAGAGAGAGAGAGAGAGAGAAGAGATGAGAGACAGAGAGAGAGAGAGAGAGAGAGAGAGAGAGAGAGAGAGAGAGAGAAGAGAGAGAGAGCGAGGAGAGAGAGAGAAGAGAGAGAGAGAGAGAGAGATAGAGAGAGAGAGAGAGAGCGAGAGAAGAGAGAGAGAGAGAGAGAGAGAGACAGAGAGATAGAGAGAGAGAGAGAGAGAGAGAGATAGAGAGAGAGAGAGAGCGAGAGAGAGAGGAGGAGAGAGAGAGAGAGAGAGAGAGAGAGAGGAGTAGAGAGAGAGAGAGAGAGAAGAGAGAGGAGAGAGAGAGAGAGAGAGAGAGAGAGAGAAGAGAGAGAGAGAGAAGAGAGAGAGAGAGAGAGAGAGAGAGAGAGAAGAGAGAGAGAGAGAGAGAGAGAGAGAGAGAGAGAGAGAGAGAGAGAGAAGATAGAGAGATAGAAGAGAGATGGAGCGAGCGATGAGGCGCTCGAGCTGCATCGACGCAGCTTCAGAGACTCGCTGAGCTCTCGCGACTGAGGAGTCTGCGCGCTCGTCGCTCCTCTCCCCGCTTCCTTCGAGGGAGACCTCTCCGAGCTGAGCGCGTACCAGACTAGCTCTTAGAGCGATCTCCCTCTCGCTCTCTCTGACCTCCCTAGAGAGAGAGAGAGAGACTGACGACCTGGCCAAACCAAGTGGACGACACGCTTTGGGCACGGTAATACTACAAAAAAGTTAATTTAATGATATACTCGTAAGCTGTCATTTTGCGTTTAAGTACTCGCAAATAGCCTACAATGTCATGGTTGATACGAATCAAGCGAAAGCTATTTTTCACGACGTCAGACTCGATAATAGGCTAGATTTGAGATCTGTGAAAAATAAAAACTCGCGGCCGGTTTAACATGCAACTAACGGAGTGGACTGAATTGAAAGCCAATCAAACCTAAGAGCAACTCTAGGACGTCTCTGCCTCCGCCGCGCACAGTTAGGCCTAGTCGTGCTTTCACACGGTCCGTAAGAGACCACACGAGCGCGTGCTGTTATTCCGAGGTCCTCTGCAGCACCGCTGCCTTCGGCTGCCGACGGCTAACGCTGCTGGTACGCACGACAAGGTCGCTCCCGCCTCCGGAAACCCCATGCGCTTGTTCACTCAGCTGTCCGTCCAGGCATCCTTGCCGATTCCCTCAGCGTCCGTCCAGGCATCCATACCTGATCGCTCAGCTGTCCGTCCAGGCATCCCTACCTCTCCGCTCGGCTGTCCGTTCAATCATCCTTACCTCTTCGGTCAGCTGTCCGTCCAGGCATCCCTACCTCTCCGCTCGGCTGTCCGTTCAATCACCCTCACCTCTTCGGTCAGCTGTCCGTCCAGGCATCCCTACCTCTTCGCTCGGCTGTCCGTCCAGGCATCCCTACCTGATCGCTCAGCGTCCGTCCAGGCATTCATACCTGATCACCCAGCGTCCGTCCAGGCATCCCTACCTGATCGCTCGGCTGTCCGTCCAGGCATCCCTACCTGATCGCTCGGCTGTCCGTCCAGGCATCCCTACCTGATCGCTCAGCGTCCGTCCTAGTCATCCCTTCCTCTCCGCTCGGCTGTCCGTCCAGTCATCCCTATCTCTTCGCTCAGCTGTCCGTCCAGGCAACCCTACCTGATCGCTCAGCGTCCGTCCAGGCATTCATACCTGATCGCTCAGCGTCCGTCCAGGCATCCCTACCTGATCGTTCAGCGTCCGTCCAGGCATCCCTACCTGATCGCTCAGCGTCCGTCCAGTCATCCCTACCTGATCGTTCAGCGTCCGTCCAGGCATCCCTACCTGATCGCTCAGCGTCCGTCCCAATCATCCCTACCTGTTCACTCAGTTCCTCGCTGCGGATGAACTTCATCTGCTCAAGGTGGGAGTGAAACCGGTCCACCACGGTCAGCGGCACCTTCAGCAGGTGTTCTGCAACGGCGCCGGCAGCGTCACCAGGACCACGCTCAGGCAGACACCGAGGTGGCGCTTCACTGCCACTGCCCACCATTGCTTCCCTGTCATTGCCCACCGGACAAGCAAAGCACCCGGTGCAAGGAAAACACTGTCGAGAGGCCTGGACATAATGCGTGTTGCGGGGCGAGGGATTGATATCCGAAATACAATGCAGTTTTTAGTGCTTTTGCGAATGCTGTGGTGTTTAAGCCTGCCGTGATGGATGAGGTGCGTATAACCGCAGGGGAATGAACTGACGGCGACCGCACAGCGGCGTACAGGCTTCGTTCAAACGTGACCGCAATGTCCTCCTGCGGAGCGGCTTCCCGCCTTCTCCCTTGGGTGCGGTGAGAGGCGCTACCGCAAACACTGCAGCAAAATCTTGTGCCACCGTCGGAATTGTGAGACAAGGCAGGAGAGAAGGGTCAGGGGCAAGGGTCTGCTATTGGTATCTTGGCACGACAAACATACTTACGCAACAACTGCATTTACATGTATGGGGAGTGTCGTGGACTACTTATCTTGGTTACGAAACCCATTGGGCCCGTTGTGAGATCAGACTTATGGTGGACCCGGCTTCAGCGGGATCGACTCCAGCTCTGACTCCAGGAGTACGTGGTTCATGTGCGAACAGGTCCGCACTAACTCAGACGCGGTCGCCGACGCCGAGCAAGACCACATGGTCTGAAGCAGTCGTACATCGCGACTCCATAAGACGTGGCCCAGTTCCCGAATGGATTCCGATGCAGAAATTCGGGTGGGAATAGCATACAGGTGAATAACCGGATTCAGCATCTGTCGATTTCGGAACCAGCTCCGACCCCTCCGGGGCCGAGCACGGATCTGATGTGATGACGTCATACGCACCGACGATGTAGCCGACAGTGACGTCATCAGGGAGACGGATCTTCTCGGCGACGCGCATGAAGCGGCCTCCGCTGCAAACCGAGGAGCAGACGTTATTGGTCGGCACCAGCAATACTCACCAATCACAGTCGTCGCCACCGGAGACGAAAAACGTGATGGTCTTTAAGAGCCGTTCCTCGCAGGGCTCCCACGGCGGTGCCTGTCGTAGGCCCGTTCGAGATAGGATCGCCGCCTTACGAATGTCCCGCGCGCGTGCCTAAACACTGCAAAGCGAGCCTACGTTGTTCCCAATCAGCTGTCGCACCGACCCTATCAGGATTTGATCAAAGCGTGGCAATATCTTCCGGATTTAGGTAGCTTGTAGCAAGTCGCAACTAGGGGCACGCGTGAACTTCACTCACTGTTGGCTAGGTAGCTTTTAGTTAGGAAATCGGGTGCTCATCCAGTGTCAAGTTTTAAGGCAAGTTGTATTTGGTGCACAATCTCCAAACGCAGGCACAGAATAACCACGCGTGGGCACAGGCGCATCCAGACATGAAGGAATCGGGGATGCGGGGATGGTGGTAGGATGCTTTAACTTGTGACAGTTCATTATAAGCCCCATGATGCATGGCAAGAACGTGCCACTTAAAGAACGCCAAAGACAGACTCTACAAACGGCTTTCTCTCTCCAAAGCCGATAAATCGACGATAGGCAAAATCGTTGTTCCTTAGCGTTCAATCTCTATGTCCGCGCTTTTCAGGGGCGGTCAGGGTTCCTGAGCATGTGTCTATGTCACAACGATCGCCGCGCGCGATGAAGCGCAATCACGAGACACAAACAAAGACAAGCCACAAACAACCTATACTTAAGTCCATGTCACGTAGCCCGCCGCCTTCAGCCTCAACCCGGCCATCGCAAGTTATTGGACCGGACCGGTGACCTCGGCGCCAAAGGTAGCGCCTGCTGCCGCCTGCACCGCCCCACCGCGATGACCGCTGCACCATCGTCTTATCACCAGACGGTCTCTGCAGCTAAATCACCGACGGCCCGGATTCAGGCCTGACACCGTATATTCGTTGCAGTCTGCCGTCTGCAAACACTAATGGAACGGTAGCTGCGGCGTAGTGTACGAGGCTACGTTCGAATGCAGCAAAGCCGGTTGGCAGCAATAAATACAGAAGCCGGCCGGGTTTACAGCTTTCGATAAATCAGTCGGCTTTCACCGAACACAGGCTGCCCCGCATTAATCTTCGGCGACCGTTCCAATAAGGATACGCCCGAAGGACGGGTAAGTTAACACCGACAGCGGGTGTAAGCGACCGCGTGATTGCAAGGTTCGGCGATTGCATCTCGCGACGCCGGCTGCAGGGCGCATGACGTCACGGTGGCGGGATGATGTCACTGTGGCGACACCTACCTGGCGAACGGCGACATTTTCAGCGCCAGGGCGCGACTCAAGCAGAAGCCCGCGCCGCCGGTGCCGAACCAGAATGAGATCCGCTCCTGAAACAGCCAGTGCGTGAGGGCAGCACGGTGAGAGTGGAGACCGCGCAGCGCCCGCCCACGTTCTGGTGATTTGCCGGAAGTCCTGCATGAACGATGTGTAGAATGCCGAAGAAAAACTTGAAAAATTTTACCGAACTGAGCGACGTTCAATCGCTGTGCTCTGTGGTATTTGCCCATGCTGCATGGGTAAAGATGGGCCATGGGCCGATCTATGCGTGGGCCATGCATAATCCCAGCGCTGTCCATCGCCCGATTCGCCATCGGTCATGCAGTGAACCCGCCGAGTGGCATACGTTTGTATGGGTATGGCGGGCTTTACGACAGTGCAGTGTACAATTTCAGTCGGAACAGGCGCCCTCCGTCGCAAGGCCTCGCCATGAGCACGGACCGCCATGACTGATGTAAGCGGACGGGCAGCCTGCGCCCTGACGTGTCTAAGTCTAAAAGTGTGGCTGGCCATTCGCGTTCCCGCCAGAGACTGCAAACGGAACCCTCCTCATCCCGCTGACACGGGAAGACCTAAGCCGGCTGCGATAGGCTCCAGGGCCCGGGATTTCCGGTCACGTGACTGGCGCGGGAGGGCGTCTCACGGCTGCCGGCTCCGTGACCGTCTCATCGGAGCGTGGTCACGACGCCAGGGAGCGGGCCGGTGGCTGCGGCGGTAGGACCAAATGGCCCGGGCCCGGGACGTACCAAAACTGGGAGCGACCCGCTCTCCCCTGCTCGCAAAGGTGGTGGCCAGTTACGGTTCGGTCGCCATGTTCTACGCTACCGAAACACCTGTAAAAGCACCCAGACCAGTCGCCTTCCCCACTAAATGGCGCATGCATACGCTCACATTCCGCCACGTCAAGGGTCGACCGACCGAGACGTTTTCGACCTTGTTCCGGTCGGTCCGGGTACAGACGTACTCCTCCGGCACAGACGTACCCCTGGCCGGTCTCGGTCCATGATCTGCAGAGGCGCGCGGACGGAGTTTCTGCCCAGGTACCAGTCGTGGCGGGCGTCGTAGCCGTCCAGCAGGCGCGCCAGCTGGTCGGTGTTGACGTAGTTGTCGTCGTCGAAGTGGCAGAACCATCTGAAGCGCCGGCGAACGACTGTGAGTCATCTAGAGCGGCGCCAGCGAATGGCCATGAGCCATCTGAAGCGCCAGCGAACAGCTGTCAGCCATCTGAAGAGCCAGCGAACGGCTGTGAGCCATCTGAAGTGCCAGCGAACGGCTGTGAGTCATCTGGAGCGGTGCCACGAACGGCTGTGAATTATCTGAAGCGCCAGTGGACGGCTGTGAGCCATCTGAAGCACCAGCGAACGGCTGTGAGCCATCTGAAGCACCAGCGAACGGCTGCGAGCCATCTGAAGTGCCAGCGAACAGCTGTGAGCCATCCGAATCACCAGCGAACGGCTGTGAGCCATCCGAAGCACCAGCGAACGGCAACGAGCCATCTGAGGCGTCAAGAAACGGCTCTGGGTCATCTGAAGCGCGAGCCTAATCGGAGCGTATTTTGCTGCGACTAGAAAAAATGGAGCTCCATGCATATAAAGTTAAGTGGGTTTTGTCGGATTTTGAACCGTACATACTTTCTACGGACGACATTAACAAGATGCGTTTCCAAGGTCTTTGGTGCACCTATTTCATGCATCGAAAACTGGTGTGGATGCAGAGCCTTGTAACACCACGAACCTGTTAAAGTGCGTGCCTGCGAAGCCAGAAAGCCTGTCCCAGTTCGAAGCTTTGTCGCGCAAGGATTTCGTGGCTCCCAACCTCATCCATGCGGAGTTTCCAGTTTTAAACATGCTTGCTGTCGTGCCATAATCCATCGATAGAATGAAAAACATTTCAAAAATTACGCGCGCTAAGTTCGCTTCTAAAGAGCCTTGCGGCGAAGGGGTCACAACCCATTTTTCAAAGCACTGTTTCAACATCCACAACTATAAAAATCACCCGTTCACGGTCACGTCATCAGGTGGGACCACTCGTGAGTCTAGGAATCCGCGCGGACGCCTAGAGATGAGGGCTCCGTGAGGGCCTCTAGAGGTGAGGACTCCGTGAGGACTCCCAGACTCGAGGCGAGTCTGCGACTGCGCAGACGCGTCAGACGATGTCACGTGACTGATATTTTGTGAACGTCGCTCGCCAAAGTTGTTCTGTCAGTTACCTCTCAGCGTGAGAGCTACTAATCGCTGTCACCGGTGAAGGATTAGTGAGAACCACAGTGAGTGTAATGCATACGAATGCAACAGCAGGGAGACAGACCTTCCACCAGCTCGAGCGCCGGCCGTTATCTCGAATGCAACGTGTGTCACATTACTACGAGTCTGATGATCATTAATCATCTCACACACGTGCCTGTAAACGGATATGATCCTGGAGGCCAAAAAGATCGCAGGGTCCGATCCAAGGAGCCCATAATATGAAGCACTATGGGATCCTGGATCCGCCCTTCAATCCAGCCTCTGGTATGCGCGTAGGCATGCCTAATCGCTGAGTACCCACGATTGCACATCTTATCAAGGCGCATCGGTGACCGCATAACGGCGCACCAGAAGTAATGTGCTCCTGATGAACCACTTTGTGTCGTATATGCCAGCGAGTGACGCGGTAAACGCCGTTGCTAATACCCACAGTGAATCTGTCATTAAAACACCGCTAACCACTTTTCACCGCTTTAAAAACCGCTCAACTCCCCTCCGCTGACAGCAGCGCCATGGTACCTGCACTGGCAGAGTTTGTTCGGATCAGCTGAGCGGATGTCGTGCCCAGATGTGTGTGTGGGGGGGGGGGGGGGTGGAATGCTTGGTCGGCCTGTGGTCGGGACGGGGGCGGCACAGCGGGCTCCGGAAAAACACTCCGCTTGCGGGCGGCGCGGTAATCGCGCCGACCACGGGCGATCAGCTAATGCATCCGCCATGAACGCGTCCAGCCGGCGGAGCACCCCGGTGAGAGCGGGCTGAATGGGCCTGCGTCCGGCAAACACGCCGACGGATGATGGTGCCGGCGCCCGGCAGTTATTGTGTTCTCAGCACGCTGGCTAGTGTGGCTGGTAGCCGATGCGTTGGTTGATGAATTCAGGCGCGTCATCTATAATCAGTGATTGTCGGTAAACAGCGCCAAATGTTGAGCGTCGCAACTACGATGATATTCCAATCTACGGCATGCATTTCCAGTGTACGTAAAGACCTACACATACGTATGTGGCTTGTTAATGTAACCAAATTGGACTTAATGACCAGTTTGTCATATTAACAACGTAATGCCCAACAAAGCTTGTATGATTACTGTAGTTACCCACACATTCGCACAATTTTGTTTTCAATTTAGGTAGTTAGGCATTGGAAATGTGAGCCAAATTTAGGTGACATAAACTTACTACCTATGCCAAAGACAACAAGGACAGTCAGAGCTGTAAACAGCGCTGTTTCACTTCGAGCATGTTGGCGACCGTAAGTCCGCTGCCCCCAACCTTCAACTTAGAACGTCCCGACACATTCGCGGCGCACGTGCGTAGCGGCGACGGTTTGGTATCGCTCACGGCTGGCACTGCTTATATTTCGCACGGAAAAACAAAAATGAAATTTTTAGACTTCGGTGAGCCCCATTTCGGCCTAGCAGCCTATCGTGACATCAAGTGTTATAAGCTTTCATGGCTATTGAGAGAATGCCCAGATATCTGCCCTGCGGTCCGAACGGATATCATCCAACATAGCTAGGCTTGGTCGTCCAGCTCAGTTTGGGACGGTATGTTGGGATTTGGGGTTGGGGTTGTTGTGACGGTATGTTCGACGCCCGCCGTTGAACGGATTGTGTCGATCCAAAAGGCGTTTTTGAGTCAGATATCCTGACATGTGGTGTGCACCTTGCTGATTTGCACCATTACTTATTTTTCACCAAGGGCTTCCTATTTTTCAACATGGAAAGCTTGCGAAGTTTCGACCCTGAAGTAGCCATGATGACAGGTGAACACTGGTGGTGCTTTAACTAGGACGGCGTTTTAGTGCATAAGGTTCGTCCGTTCATAATGTTAAAGGCCGATTCGAACACATTCGCACATGAGATCGCGGATAAATTACCTCAGCTGTAATACATCAAGTGCTTGGATTGATTTCAGTTCAAGCACTCTTTTTTTTGGAATATTGTTCATCCGGTCATACGGGAAATACAATCGGAGCATTCTGGGGCCGAACCAACTACTTCAGCTGACCACTCAGTTTCCAGCGCGCAGGAAGCTGACACCCTCACCAGGCTGACTGGCGGGAGATGCGTGAGTATAGTATGAGTGCCAAGGCGTGTATGTCGCGCACTTTGATGACCATTTGGTCATCACATCAAGGCACTGATTTCTGCGGACCCAGGCACAGCCGACCCTCGTGTGGCAGTACTGAACGAGCGGAGGGAACAGATCAGTGAATGTGCATGCGAGGCAGGCATGCATCGACTCTTGCACGCTACCCTGGTGAGGGGTGGGCTCATTCACTTAAACTCCGCATCATTAAATACGGTAGAAGGGAATCGGCAGGCGCGTGCTGCATACGTATTACATACAGACGTACAGACAGACAGACAGTCAGACAGATAGAGAGGAGGGTAGACACTAACTTAACGAAACAGACAACAATTAGCAATAACCGGGCAGACAGGGGACGGACGGACGGACGGACGGACGGACGGACGGACGGACGGACGGACGGACGGACGGACGGACGGACGGACGACCAGCCAGCCAGCCAGCCCGCCAGCCAGCCAGACGGGGACAAAAGCGCGGAGGTGGCCCATCCCGAGGACTTCCCGTCATTAGTGCGCTACCCTTTTTGCGGTGGCGGGCGTGGCACACCACACTGTGATTGCCGCGGTGACCGTGCCGTTTCCCGCACCTGTCCGGCGCCGGTCAACAAAAACGCCAGGGCCGCCGCGGTGGCACCTGCTCACCTAATTCCGGCCAATTACGGGTCGAGGTCGGAAAAAACAGCCGGCCACCGTCCGCTCCCTTCGCGCCCGAGCTCAGCGAAAAATGGCTCGTCATGCGCCAGAGCCGTGCGTATTTGTGTTGGGGGGCATTAGCCAGCTAGCTGAACTTAATTAACTGGTTAAAGTTTCCAGAAACAGTTACACTCCTCCTCGGAGTGTGTGGCTAGAGGCCACCCCGGACCAATTCATTTCGAAAGCGAGACTGCCGACTCAGGCAATCCAGCTATAGCAAATAACCAAAAGCCGCACTCGAAAAGCCGTATGACTTCAAATCCCTACCAAGCTTGTCGCCATGATGAAAAGCATAAGCCCGTGGTAGCCGCGTCTAACATCACTGTAGGGGTAAAAGAGTTAGCCACAGATGAGTCAGGCTTGACTCACTCCTCATTAGGGGACCGTGGGACAAAGAGGAGCAGGTGCAGCTGCGTCACGAAAGCGACTGGCATGTGGGGGCGTCATGGCAGCATGCAGAAACACGACAATCTAGAGAAGCGCTCGCCGGTTATCCCTCCCACAACAACGGCCGTGGAGGTCTTCTAGTCACGAATGCGCTGTCGCCTTCAAGCGCCGAAATCGTGGTAATCCTCGAGCTCTTCCGCTGTGAGATTAGGACCAAGACTGCCAGCGCATGGAGCTCCAGTTGTGAAGACAGGCTCGAGGCGACGAGACAATATGAACAACTGCGGCCATGGTTCATCGATCATGCTAAACGTTATCCCCACAGGCAACCTGACACCTGAACTGGAAATATTCGTGAGTTCGTTCAGGCCTTTGATAACGCCACGAGCCCTGCACTTCAGTTCAGAAGCGAATGGATGTTTCAAACTTCACGGCGTAGGAAGCGGGAGCGTGGGGGTAGCGGTTAATTGAACATTTCTGCGCACGGAACGACGCGGCTGTACCTACTTTTTGCCAGACGCCATGAAGGTGTCGTACTCGACGGCCATCTTGCAACAGAGGGCGTCTCGGTGGTGTGATGACGAACAGTTGGTGTTGATCACGTGACCTCCTGCAACGCGTGGAGCAATTATAGCGCGCACAACCTACCTCGCAGTTGGAATCGTACGCCCTTATGGTGTCGGCTTAACATCATGGAGCTAAATTATCACTTCCGACTCCACTCCCGCTCCCTCCCCTCCGGCCTGCGCGAGTCGTCATTTTGTTTTACTGACGGACGTTGGCTCACTAATGTCTGATTAACCTCAGGGTTCGCTGCAGCGGGACAAAACGCGCTGGGAACAATCTATTTAGGGTAGTGCCAACATACAGAGAGTCTTTCATGAGAGGGCTGAAATGTTAATTATCTTCAGCTTAAGAAAATGATATTCTCGCGAGAAGTCGACCAGCCGAGTAGAGAGCGAGAAAATCACCACCGAAAGCGGCAGAAAGTTGTCACTGAAGTCGGTCGGTGATACATTATAGCCCTACGTAACGCGTTCAGTGTTTCCTTTCAGTCAGTTGGTTTGGGATCGTCGATGAATTACCCTATGCATGGAGGGAAAGAGGGGGAACTTTGATCAAGCGGAACAGAAGCGTGACGAGGGAGGGAACGGAAGTTTTGAAAAAGCGTAACGTTACTCTAAAGTGTGATTGCAAAACGCAAATCGTGCTGAAATTCTGAAAAAAACCAGCTTAAACCCTCAAAGCCAAGTGTTCTGTTTTCCTCACACGACATGGAACTCGCCCGCTGTTTTGTTTTGCACCTCTTGCTGAATTATGGCCACACACGATACTTTTTGGGAACGTCACCTTAACAGAGCGTAGCAGGGGGTGGGGGGGTGGGGTGGGGGGTAATCCAACGCAACCAGCTCGTGAATAAGAAGTAGAGAGGGTTTGGAAAAAGTCAAAAATGCGTAATGTGATTTCTGGACGACCCCTGAGCCTAGATTTTTCATAATTTACACTGGCAGGAAAGATAATCACCCGATTTCAATTGCACCAAACATGACATACCGCATGAAATACTACATTTCTTTGACGCTTTTTAGTATGGGTCTTTGAACGTATAAGCCATGAAATAGTTTTCGTCATATTATGAGGTCGGACGTAGTCTATCGTGGCGCGACATATATAAGTCAGTTGCGCTACGACCTCGGCAGGCATTAACACTTTCCCTAACGAAACATATCAGCTGGCGTCGCGAGGATTTGGGGAACACCAACATCGGCTACTACAGTCCCGACTTTTAATCCTAGCGAAGCACATCAGCTGGCATCGTGAGGGCTTGCGGAACACTAACATAGGCTACTACGGTCCCGACTTCTAATCCTGATACACACAAACAAGTTTAAAAAGAACGTCACGTGAACAGTGCATGCGCGGCAAAAAACGCGGATTTCGTGATTTCCCACAGTCAACAGTTGAACTGTATCATGTTCATACATGCTTCACGTTTACAAACAATGTTGTCAGCCATACATCTCACCCGTTCTTTGTAGCAGCTCCGGATCTTCTTGATCCGTGAAAAACCACGTCTGAAAATGAAAACATGCAGTCACTACCACAGAACTCGGACTGACATGCTCATGAATCTGATGGCGGAAGATGAACAGAAATCAATGTGGGGAAATACAAGCACATTGTAGACACAACAATGCGGTGCTTGAGTGCATGGCCTTTACGAACAGCTCGACGCAGAGCTGTTTGTAAAGGAGCTGTTCGTAAAGGAGCTGTTCGTCACGAGCTGTTTTGTACAAAAATCGCAACAATCGCACTACATTTTCGGGAACCGCAGGACTGCTTCTGGTGCTCGCATCAAAATGTCGCATCAAAAAGCTTTTTTCAAAACTTGCCCGTTTAAGAGGAATGCACAACTCAAATATTTTGCAACCATAAAGTTGTCTTGATTTTCGTATTCCCAGGTGTCCAGAACTGCTAAAGCCCCCTCACAAACTGAAGCTCATAAATATATAAATGGTTTGCCTGGAAAAGACTACAGGACAGTTTGCCTCGACGCCGTAAAAGACACATTTGGACAATGACAGTTTGTTTGCTGTTGCATGTCTTGTCGCCTATTGTTTAACATGCACAGTGCATGCACAACATTCAAAGCAAGTAGACCATTGACCTGCTTAAAGACACGCATGGCACAGCATTACAGTTCTCCCATCCACCTGCCAGTCTGCCTGCAGTCCCATGCTTTCTTCAAAGTTCCACATCCAGACCTTGGGTGGGCACGTTTCCGCGAATCCTCCTCCGGACCTCCGCGACCTCCGCGGGCGGCGGGCGGGCAGACCAGACCCTCGACCTTCGCGCGAGGGTTGAGGGTCAGCCCCACCGGCGACCGCTGTCAGCACCGACCCCTCCCCCTCTCCAGCCCCTCAACCGAACGCGGCCGGTGACTGGAAGTCGTCGCTATCTGTCGAAGCCGAGGCGACCTGCCCGCAGAGGGGCAGGCCTGGGCGAAGGTGTCTGTACGCGCGCCTGAGTGAGTTTGGTCGCCTTTCGCCTTTCGCCTTTGGTCGCCTTTCGCCTTTTTCGCCTTTTGGTCGCCTTTTTTGGTGCGGGACAGAGGAGCGGGTTGAGCCAAACTCGGCCAGCCTCACAGGGCTCGCCGCAGGAGCGGGCCTCCCAACTTTATGCCATCGACCTCGCGAAAACTGAGCTGCCATGAATTGCGCCGAACTACACGGCACGTGGATGAAATTTCATTCCGGCCGCCGGAGACTACATTGCATCACATTACACGGTCGACATCATGTGACCACGGCAAACGGGACGGTTAAAGCCCCCCCCCCCCCTCTTCCCCCTCCCCAATCAGCAGCCATCATCTGGTGCAGCTCGTCGATGGGTGCACATCGCTAGTACCGCCGCCGGACAGTGGACCGTTAAGGCATTGTTTGTGCACACGTTCCTTCCCCGCGGTCATACCGGCACTACAAGCCAGCATCGTCAGGGGCCACACAGATAACGGTACAACGGACAGCAAGGTTGATCAGATATACGGTGATTTTTTGCACGCCACGTGCACCAGGCGTCGTGCGCATATGTTCGTGCGCAGGACAATGCATACTTTCAGTGAAGTTTAACGAGTGCCAGTGCTTCTGGTAAGCAAATGAAGGGTTACCGGGCTTGAATGCTCCCGACATCACAGCAGCTCGTGACGGGCGACCATCCCTAGCTCCCGACTTCAGTTTTGTTGCCTTACAGCTGCAAGGTTAACTATTTCGCTCAATTGACGTTGATGGCTTTTGAGCTGGTTGAAGCTCACGAATTGTTGCAATGCTAGCTCATGCTGACCGCAATGCTCGATGCACTTATTATCTGGTCCTCCAGCCCACTGATGACATGACAGACGACGCCATGATGCAAGGATGATTAGGTAAAGATGGTGGGTAGGCAGGGAGTAGATGCATGAGGTAAGGATGAGTTGTATATGCAAACTCTCGGTATGCATATCACACTGTTCAGCAGGTGTGGACTTTTGTTGTTGCAGGCGCCCTGGATGCTTTTAAAATGTCTTTATTCTCTGTTTGAATCCACGCACGTGTCATACGTGCTGGTAATGATGGCTCAAGGCAACGTCTATGTCAGCATGCACCCGGATACAATTATGTCAGGAACAATAAGCCTCCTGTCTTAGTTGAGCTCGTCGATACTACTTTGCACTGCAGAGCCCACCTGGTACCAATGCGCGGAGAGTGAGAGTGTTCACTGTAAAATTGTGTATCGGACGTTGTCATAATAGCAGATTGGAGCTACTCCTCAAATCAAAACATGATGTGCTAAAGGGGGTGCAGTTTTATGGAATAGGATTCAACATTTTCCCGTGGAATAGCCTGATGTGAACTAAAACATGCCCATATGTGCATCCAGGACATGTAATACGTGGGCCTCGCTCGCGCCCTGGAAGCAACTCCACGCCCCTGACAGTGCGTCCAGGCCAAAGCAGCTGGTGACGTCAGCCTCCATAATTGGTGGAGGAGTGATTTACTGCTCTTATCGAAAGAATCAGCGCTGGCCCAGAAGGTAGTGCACTTTTTCGAGACGCGATAACACGGGCGTGCATTCGTGCAACCGCGGCCCGGTCACACACGGTCGCCCTGCATATGCGTGTGACCTGAAATTTCCTGGATTGAAAAGCATCATCTGCAGCATCGTGACTTGTAGTTGCCCGTGCCCCCCCCCCCCCCCCCGCCACACACACTAGCGAGAATGCTCGGCGCAAGCAGCAATGACCTGGCTATTGTTCACGCTACCTGTAGTCACGTGGTCTCTAGCCATCTGACGCAGCGGCACCTAACTTGCAGGCACGTGACCGAGGCCCACATGATACCGTGACCCCGCATTCTTCATAACAAAATGGAAACCAAGCACAGTGTTGAGTCGGCCCGGTCAATAGCGATCTATCGCGCTCAGCAATGTTATGTCATCATGTGCCATATGACAGAAATAGCCGCTTTAACTGCCCCAGTTACTTCGCCGATGTCTGTTCCTTCATTTGCCCACGACGAGGCTAGGTTGAACCCTGTCATTCATACTTTACAAAGTGATGCGTTTATGACGCATCGTAGCACACGCGTTCACCAGCTGAAGGATTGTGACTACAACAGGATTGCTACTGTAGTAGAGAATTACATTACGATATAACCGTGATTAGTGCGCCAGGAGCATTCTGGGGACAAAAGTAGCCCGGCGGGATCTGGTCTTATTTCAGCCGCTTTACAGTCGCAGGTGATCTAACGATACCAGTTACTTTGACATGAGGGCGCTGTTTGTCTTCGCGTGATGGTTCTCCGAAGGTCCGTACCTGAGTGGGGACGCGTTTGAACCACGTGTCCAGGATGGGGGGCAGACGGGTGGCGTGGAACTGGCCCGACGTCTTGACGCTGATGAACACATCTCTCAGAATGTCCCCTGGGGCCGCTAGACTATCGCCGGAGGTCACCAGGAGGTCATCAGAGGTCACCAGATGTTCACCAGAGGCCACCAGATGGCCAGAAGAGGGTGGTGAGCTGCTCCACTTTGTTGTGGTGACGCCACTGGATATGGTGGCCTCTCCAACAGACGTGGCCATGATTTGACCTTCCTCCAGCGGCCGCGAGACGCCCACGCCCTCCGCTGATCTCGACATGCGCGACAGACGCCGGGTCAGGCCACCGAGTCCACTGTGGACATTGAGTCCACTCCGATCATCAAATCCACTCCGATCGCCGAGTCCACTCCGGTCGCCGCGTGACCCGCCAGTGCCTCCCGCCCTGACCCGTGCCGCCCGCGTCGCCGCCAGGCCGAGGAACACGCAGACCCCGAGCGCGCAGACCACCTGCAGGGCGCCCCGTGCCGTCCCGTGCCGGTCCGCGGCCATGGGGCGTCCGGACGGGGCGGAGCGGACGCGTGCGGACGGCGCGGAGCGTGCGGACACACTCGCGTCCGCGGCGGGTTCGCGCGGGACTGAGGCGGCGTCGGCGAGCAGCGGACGGGGCCGGTGCTAGCCACCTGGCGCCGCCCGGCGCTGCAGTCTCCATCCGCCGCCGCCTCCCGCCGCTGGCTCTGCACCTGCCGGGGGACGGGGTGGAGGATGGCAGGGTGGCAAATTGGGGGTTGTGGTGAACCTTGGAGTGTCGTTGGGCGCGCCGTGAGTGCCATTATTTATTATGTCCAATTCGCTAGGAGCCCAATTATGTAACCTTTGGAGGATATTTGTGGTTGAAGTGTAGCATTTTGCTCCATGGGGGTTTCCAAATGTGATGAAGTGGCTTGCACTCTTTTTTAGAGACCACGTCTATAACACAGACCTAAATATGCCGCTCAACATATGTGGAAGAGCCCAGTATTCAGTTTTAGATGATCTTTTGCATAGTCGGCGGTGGTCCACGCAGCCGCAGTAACGTTTTTGACCATGTTACAGCACGCGGTAATAATATAACAGTGTTTGGTTTACCACCGACTTAATGTTGTAGACCACCAGGAATGAGCACAAATAAAAAACAAGAGCAATAGGACACGAGTGCAGTGGCAATCACCTGGCATTCATAATCGCGTCCGAGCAGAGATTTTGGCTGAGATTTTGAGATTAGATGAGCGATAACGCTTTTTGAGCGGGCAACAGACAGATCGCTGAGTATGGCTGGATTTGCTGCGACTGTGATAAACTTGACGAGATGAAGAATATCTCTGAACGGTCCTTTTCATCGCGGGGAACGATCCAGTCGCTCGCGGTTTTGGGAAAGAGACGTCTTGGTCCTTCTGGAACAATTCATCACTAGTTGTACTCATCGGTTCTTTTGTCCGGTAGGCACCTACTTTACTGCGCCTGGGATGGTCTTGTCACCTAGCGAGAAAAAAAAATGGGTAGTTAAAATGTAGACATTGTCCCATTCAATTATTACTGTACAATCCAAAGACAATTCGAGTGCTGATTTTGTCAAATCAGTTTACAGGGATCAGTTTTGCTTTGCGATAGCACAAAGTGTTCAACTCACTAACGCGCATAAAGTCGCTGAAAAGTTCGTGATAACGTAGTAAATTTACCGGGTATCGCGGGAGCTTTCAAAGGCAGGTAACCTTTTCTGGAACATCATTATCTATGGAAGCACTAGACCTGCCCATCCGTCGAGGTTGTGAAAATCCCACTCGAAGTACTTTTGCCCTGTTTATCATAATTGTGCCTTTTCAGACTGATCCCTTCCCAATAATGCTGATACAGTTATGTCCGCGCTCCGTACGGTTTGTCGTCACATTTGGAAGCATGCAATTATAAACACTGGATTGGATTGTGCTTCCATAGGACTGAGGGAGTTCTGCAATCGTACTCGGGTCCACCCTTTTTGGTCTATTCTAGTAGAGTAAAGCGAAATATGCCATTGGCTCCAGCAGATAGTTAACAACGGAGACATTGCCACTTATACTACTTGCTTAATACTTGCGGCAATACTTTCATGCCATGGAGCACTACATGCTACCCCTCTGTCACACGCTCACGTTAAAGCCAGCGTAAACGCGTAGTCAAAACACAGATAATGCATGTATCAGGAGGAGACGCCACAGATTCCTCCATATTAAATCAAATTAACATTGTTCTGGTGGTCTCGATTACTTTCATAGCAGCGCACTGCGGTTAACGGTGAACGTTCATCTTCAGCTTATCCGGCATGCTTCCTTTCCTGTTACCCAGGACCTGCGTTGTTGCTTTTGCACGGACCTTGTTTTGTTTTCGACTGAATGCATCTCGGCTGTTTTAGGCTTGCTGGGAATGTGTTTCTAGTGATGGCACATCTGTATGGGACCAACGCCGGTGTCTGGATGCGCGCTTTTAACCCTTCTTTCTGTGGACATCTTATCACCGGAAACCAAACAAGCGAAGAAATTACAATACTGTAGTTGAAGGCGTTAACAATTTCTTTAGCTGCCATTTATTAATATGAGACAGCAATACGATTTAACATAACCTATTGACTACTTTGCTTGTGAAAAGGAGCGAAACCGTTAATAAATGATCTAATCAGAGTTATTTTACTGCTCAGCCTCTCTCCTTCAGCTGTTCCAGTGTTCTAATGGTCTTAGGCGAAAGCCAAGTCAAGATTATCATCACCTCCCCCCCCCCCGCCCCCCTCGAGATTTTTCCATCGGCCGGCGAGCTGTCTCCGCTCCGGTCTGGGCGGAGGCCGACGAGAGCCGCTGATCTCGGCAGGGCGCACCGGACCCGCCCCCTGCGTCCTCGGCCGGCAAGGACGTCCCGCATCGTTGTGTCACATGTCAGGTTGCGGCGCGTGTCAGGGTGTTGGCCCAGTGTCGGGTGTCGGGCGGGGCAGGCTCGGTCCGACTCACTGCACGTGCGGCGCGAGGTGAACACCACCTCGTTAATCATCCCGTGTGTTTTGGAGGGGCGGCGGGCTCTGGTGTAGCTGTGGAAGGTCCCTTGATTGCGCAGCTGCGCAGACATCTCGGTCCCGATTCTACCCAGGACCGTTGCGTAATTTGGCGGGTGTTTCATGCCAAGGATATCTTGTGGAGCACCGTGATTATTAGAAACGTGCAGCCGGGGTGCGTGAATTGACCAAAAGTGATGTAACATGAATGCTTACGAATTCATTCCGTATCTTGCTAAGGCGTTTAAGTTGAATTTCTTCCAATTTGGGCGTTTAATGTTGGGGTTCAGGTTTCGCCTCCTGTCTGACGTCTTGGTTTCCTGCCGGTCATATCGGGCATCCAGAAAACTACAAATCACATTCGATAAACACGAAGTACTAATCACGTTGGAGAATCACAAATACTTATCACATTCGGGAATCACTTGCAGTGCTATTTAGACACACCCACGCACCACTCACACCCACGCCCACACCCACATTCACCCACACCCACGCCGACACCCGCAGTCACCCACACCCACGCCCACACCCGCATTCACCCACACCCACGCCCACACCCACATTCACCCACGCCCACGCCCACATCCGCATTCTCCCACACCCACGCCCACGCCCACGTTCACCCGCACCCACGCCCACACCCGAATTAACCCACACCCACGCCCACACCCGCATTCACCCACACCCACCCATCCACACACACGCACGAGCACACAAATGGACACATGCACACATGTACACCCACCCACACCCACACCCACACCCACACCCACAAACATACACCCACACCCACACCCACACCCACACACACACACACACACACACACACACACACACACACACACACACACACACACACACACACACACGCACACACACATACCTTTTCTCTACTTCAGGGGAAAAGAATCTGAATCTCTGCTGCAGACATCCGTGCCGATTGCCGAAACTGCTGGCGACGGCTGGAGCTATTATGGAGGTATTTGCTGGCCATCTGTTTGACGAGAACGAGTGTTTATGCTCGTCTCCTCTAAACAAACAAAAACGTTTCCATTAGCATAATCGTGGCTGCGGGAGCCCATGTTTAGCATTTGATTCTACCGGCATCTGTGTGGGCACATCGCTCGTCAAGCATGCAGATTCTATTTCACAGACAAATATTCGTGATGCTGTGGCAGCGGATAAGGTCCAGACTTAAGGGCCAATAAAACAACCATAAAGCCATTTAGAGAAGTCGGATTACTCAAGGGTCTGGCAATGTTTGGCTTCAGTGGGGCTTAGATACGTCGAAAATCTCCAAACACAATGCGTGAGGGTAGGCTATCCACTGATGTTCAAGGGGTACACGCATGTAACTGCGATGTTATAGGGACGAGGTAAAAACTGTTAAAAAGAAATGGAAAACTGCTGCATTTTTTTGGGCTGGGCTGTTACCTTCCGTTTGTCGTGTCATGTGTAATCATTCCGAATCACTAGAACGAATCGAAGTGCCTCATCCAATTATTGAAAGTAAAAGGTCTCATCCGATTATTATAATCTAGTGTATTATTATTCTAAAAAGCCTTACATCCGACTGTGTGAGCTGTGTTGAGAGTCATTTTCCTTTCCGGAACTTCTTTTTCTTCTTCCTTTCTGAAAGTTCTTCCGAAACGCCAAATAATTACTTCCGAGACGTTGATACATGATAACCGACTTTTTGTGCTCTGATCTTTGACTCGTCTAAGCTCTCAATTTTTTCATCCAACCGTTCGAACTTATACATATACGAATTATAGATGTCGTAGATGCATCTATATCTACATGCATGTGTACATATAACGTCTGTAATTCGTATATGTATAAACTGGAAACTTTGCATGAAAACATTGGCTTAACATACTCTACGCTCCCTGATAGTCAGCAAGTGGCGGCACAATTTTTCTGTTGTCTTTCCCCGTAGGCGGCGTGATCCCGTTCAGCTGCATATTCGGGTTCCGACAGGAGCGGAAGCAACTAGAAAAATAGCGGAGAGGCTGCGCAAACGTAATGAGCAAGTGTCAATGCGTAATTAGGAAATAACACAAATAAAATACAAAACTCCCAAAATGGGGGACGGCACTCCCTCCCCCCCCCCCCCCCCCTTCCCCGCCTCTTGCCGTGCCTCCGACGACGGCAAAGCCCTGGCTGCCGGCACCTGATCGATGCGAATTCCCGTCGTGTTTTGATGTGGAGCGGGGGGCGGGCCGGGCGGCGGGAGTCTCATTTGATGTCAGCGGGAGTCGAGCCCGTCTCCCGCTGTTGGCATGTGCGCCTCCTCTCCGGGCCGCTGTTGGCATGTGCGCCTCCTCTCCGGGCCGCTGTTGGCATGTGCGCCTCCTCTCCGGGCCGCTGTTGGCAATGTGCGCCTCCTCTCCCCGGGCCGCTGTTGGCATGTGCGCCTCCTCCCCGGGCCGCTGTTGGCATGTGCGCCTCCTCTCCGGGCCGCTGTTGGCATGTGCGCCTCCTCTCCGGGCCGCTGTTGGCATTGCGCCTCCTCTCCGGGCCGCTGTTAGCATGTGCGCCTCCTCTCCGGGCCGCTGTTGGCATGTGCGCCTCCTCTCCGGGCCGCTGTTAGCATGTTGCGCCTCCTCCCCGGGCCCTGTTGGCATGTGCGCCTCCTCTCCCGGGCCGCTTTAGCATGTGCGCCTCCTCTCCGGGCCGCTGTTGGCATGTGCGCCTCCTCTCCCGGCCGCTGTTAGGCATGTGCGCCTCCTCTCCGGGCCGCTGTTGGCATGTGCGCCTCCTCTCCGGGCCGCTGTTGGCATGTGCGCCTCCTCTCCGGGCCGCTGTTGGCATGTGCGCCTCCTCTCCGGGCCGCTGTTAGCATGTGCGCCTCCTCCCCGGGCCGCTGTTGGCATGTGCGCCTCCTCTCCGGGCCGCTGTTGGCATGTGCGCCTCCTCTCCGGGCCGCGCAGGTCGCAGCCGGCGGCGCCCGAGTCTGATGGCGTTTGCTGATTGCGGCTCGCGTCAGGCATGGAGTCACGTGTGAGTCCAGATGTGGGTTCCAGCTGCGGGGAACCCAAAGGCGGTGCCAGAGATTTTTACTTGTGAAGGTGGTCTGACTTTTACAGAGGTCCTCCTCCCAGAGTGGCCTCTTGGGTTTTTTACAAGAGGAGGGATATGTTCCCTGATAAATTTGTATCATATATCGTTGTCCATGTAAATACATAACAATATAAAAAATTCCGAACAGAGGCTTTCTAGAGGCAGACGTTCCCTGATAAATTCGTATTACATATCGATGTCCATGTCAATACATAACCGTATTTAAAAACCCCAAACAGAGGTCTTCTGACGAATGCAGAGGGATTCTAAATCCAGAAAAGGGCCTCCCTATCTCAAGAGAGGACCTCCTGTGCCATAAAGAGGCCTTCTGATGCAATGAAGAGCCTCCTAATCCAAACAGAATCCTCCGATTGACGAAGGGGCTTTCAAATGTGGCCAAATGCCAAAAAAAATATGTATCAAAATTGACCACACCAGCTCGGTATTCATGTAAGTGGGAGGGGGAAAAACCTGTTGGATACCAAGCTTACCCGACCGGATTTGCGACAAAGATGAAACTCTCTCTCTCTCCCTCTCGCCCCCTCTCTCTCTCTCTTTCTCTCCCTCTTTCCCTCTCTCTCTTCTCTCTCTCTTCTCTCTCTCTCTCTTCTCTCTCTCTCTCTCTCTCTCTCTCTCTCTCTCTCTCTCTCTCTCTCTCTCTCTCTCTCTCTCTCTCTCTCTCTCTCTATCTCTCTCTCTCTCTCTCCCCACTCTCTCTCTCTCTCTCTCTCTCTCTCTCTCTCTCTCTCTTCTCTCTCTCTCTCTCTCTCTCTCTCTCTTCTCTCTCTCTCTCTATACATATATACAGAATATATAGCTCGGCGGAATATGTAATGGAGTAATACTTGGAGTATTATCTACATTACAAGACCTAATGATGAGGGGCATGAACGTTGATCTGTTGTATATCGACGGGGATGAAATGAACAATAGACAACAGCTTCTGATCTTCTAGCACTGCGTGCTCAAAACACTAGCGATGATATATGACGTAGACTAAAATGCAGTGTGCGGGAATGTGATGCAGACTTGAAAGCCTTGTGGGAAATCCTAACCACCAGAGTTCATTACATATCCTTGGGACTTGTTAAAAGATGTGCTGATACCGCAGTAAATCAGGTTAACTGAACCTGCAGATTTCTCTGTGACAGAACGAGGACTAGGTAATGCGTTAGCTCGCTGTTCCCTATCGACCCATTGCATAATCTAGCAAAAAAAACCTGGCCAGCACTGGACTGCTTCAAATTGTTTGCACTAGAATCTTGTTCTTGCCTTTTCAGCTGGTCCGCTTCAACCGCACAGCTTTGAGAAGCATGTGGGCCACATACCAGAATAAATATTTTTGAGGCCTATTTTGGGCGTAGGTTGAACCCCATGGTTGAGCCCCTGCTCCGTTTCCATCCATCACATTTTGTGAAAATCCCACTTTCTGGATTGTGTGGATACATGAATTGAATGGAACAAAAGAAAACGCGACCAAAGATAATATAAACGTACGACTGCGACTGACTGCGACCCAGAGTTTTGCATCAGTAAAGTTTTGCTTAGAAAATTAACAGGAGCTCCACGTGAGTTTGTAGATGCAATGTTCTCCTGAAGGGGCACTGCTTGAGACGGTGAGCTCAGTAACGCTCTATCGATAAAAATGTGTTTTACGCGAAATTTCAATAACTTTTCTTGACAGCTTGCAGTTGACTTATAACGTAGCTGTAACGTGTCATTTGCAGTGTTTTTGAGCACTTTTGTAATCGCCGGTTTTTATTTTTGAATTGTGTGTTTGTCTCTCACCGTCTGCAATCATCCTGCCGTTACCAATATTCAGCACAAGCGCTCGCAATTTTAAGGCGCCAGGCACCGAAACACGGCGTTGCAGTCTTTGTTTGACACGTGGCGATGGCTCCTACAGTTAGGCCGCTTGCACCAGCCGCCAGGCGGCGGGCGGGCGATAACGGCCTCACATTAAAACAGCATCCTTCAAACGCTCCGTAGAGTAAGTTCCTGCGGGTCGAGGGCGAAGCCATAAGCTGTGTAGCTCACCTATACAATTGTCATGTTGTTACCCTGAATTCCGAGAGGATTAACAATTACAGCACCACAAACAGTCAATATTTCAGTGCGTCGCTGACGAGAACTGTGGGATTTAGCTGTGTATGTTTTATCGCGATTACAGCTCGTTACAAACGACATATCCAGAAGGTGGACGGTGGACTATCTAAACAGTCAGTATGACTGACCCAGGTTGCTGAAGAAAGCATGCATTATTCAGGGATGATGGTAACTCGGACTGTTGTCGGAACCACGGTAATAAAAGCCGCAATAGGGCAGATCAGAACGGCGCTCGTATAACTTGACAACAGGTTCACGTGCTTTATAGCGCAATGTAATCCGAAAACTACTCTGAATGCTTGGTACGTTGTCCGTTGCGTTGTGAGTTGGCAAAATAAATCGGGTTCGACCCTATGAATGCGTTGCGGCGCTGGGCACCGTGCGACACAATTTAACCTTTTTTATAACCTTTTATATATTTTTTTTTACCTTCTTTTTTTTCTTATAACCTTCAGCAGAACCGGGCTGTTCCGGGCCGTGGACACATGGGCTTCCTATTTTGTTATGTACTTCGCCATTTTTTCTCTTAATAGGTGATGGGAGACATACCATGATAAGGACTTGGATGACGTCATTAGAGCTTAGGACAAACCCTTCCTCCCATTCGCACGTCCGCACCGGCCGCTAGTACCAGTTGGAATCTCAGCCGTTTGTGTTGCTGAACGCGACACAGCGTAGGCTCTCCGAGGTAACAGAAAACCCGAGACCAATGTGAGCGGCTCCTGAGCGGTCCAACCTGTCGGGAGAGCTCCATACAAAGGATCAGCACCGACAAAGGTGCCGGGCTCTCCGAAACAAACTAGAAGAACCGAAGAGCAATGTAGTGGGTCCCAGAACGATCGGGGTGCCCCATAGTGATTAATGCGCACGGTAAAAACGAACACCGGACTCACTGTTAAGAACTGTGGGCCCCTGGCAGATACAGGGGTCTCAACCAGTGTAAATTACTGGCCCCGACTTTGTAGCTGATTGGGAAGTAGGCTCTAAGGCCCATACCAAAACGGAACCAACTGTGCGGTGCTGGTGATGCCAAACCGACATATAGGCTCATATCGAATCAGGGGGTGCGTGATTGGCACAAATATCCCTGTAGCTGTTATCTGAGGGCCTGTCCCCGCAGCTCAGAACCCCTGACTAATAATTCGACCATTCCTTTGTGCCCTTAGGCCCCAGAGGCCCCGGAACTGTGCGCACCGGGGCCCTTGAATGCGACCACCAGCCTTCCTTTTGGTCCCTTCGAGCATTCAAATCGCGACCTTAATGGGGGGCACGTGTCCCCTGTGTCCCCTGCCTGCACCACTGCGCCGCACTGGATCCGACTCTGCCGGTCGCAGTTCCTTCGTTGCATCCCTGGCCATTGGGATCAAAACCGGTTTCGAGGTCTTTTGTTTTCACGGCCTTGATCACATGTTTTTAGCAGCCCTCAACTACTGCGCTTCTGCGGCGTATTTGAAACGTCTTTTGACACATCGTCTTGGCGGCGCATTTGGGCGACAGGTGCCCGTCGTTGTTTCGAGTGAGCAGGGAGGTTACTATTGCTGGTTGTGGCATGAAGCATCGGCAGCTGAATTTCAGTCGTCTATTTTCTGCATCATCCAACATATGTGAAGGGTTCCAGCCTGCTCGCAAATGGTAGCGAAGGTAGGCGCAGGTAAGGTTGTAGTAAGTTTGGGTACTCTTCAGGTGGACGTCACTGATATTCGAATTCTGAAATGGAGCACTTAACATCTGTAAACGTTAAAGCCAGCGGATGACAAATGTCAAACATCACACATCAATGCTTCTGTTTTATGTAAAAAAAGGATTTAAATGATTGTTTTTACTCATCAGGACATGCATGAATAGTATTGTGTTGGTTTTAAAATGCATGGAAGTAGGGTTCATTAAACATTGGTTTGAGACATCAGACATAATTCTAACCATGCACATGACTAGGTACACTCAAAATTGTGAGTTATTTTCTCATCATAATTTTCTGGTAACAGAAGTCACTGTCAACAACACTAAGTTTTGCCCAAGATACCCCACAGACTTTAGCTGTGATTTCAGCAGAGTTTAGTCTACTTAAAGCTGTTTCTGCTCTTCCTGGCAACAATCCATTGGATGCTGATTATATTACCAACAAGAAAAGAAGGCTGATACTTGCCAGCAATCTTGTCATTGGCATAGACATCTGCAATCTGTAAAATGTACCCACAATGACAAATTTGAGTGCTCTCTTAAGCCTTTTATACTTGATTGCCAATTAAGGGTCCAATAATGCTTGATGACAGCAATAGAATTAGCTGTCTGAAATATTGTGTGCATGCTAACACATAAGATGAAAGCAATGGTCTGGATAATTATTTCATCAGGCATTTGCATAGCAATAGCTGACCAGAAAAGCATATACAAAGCATGCACACATCTATATAATAAGCATCCTGCAGAGTGCAGTCAAGAATGGAAATAACTATAGTCATAAGTATATGTCAACTTTCAAAAAAATACTGCAGGTACTTTCTTTATTAAACTGATATCCATTTGTTTGCACCACCTCTTACCAATGTTGGTAAGGTAATTTACTCTGACCCACAGATGATGCTACATTTTAAAAGGTCCAGCATCCTTTCAAAGAAGAAGGAGCCCAGCTATAGCTTTTGTCTCCACAAACACTACTGCAAGGCAGCCAAGAGCAGGAACAAGATCCATTGTGACTGTGGTGAAAATAGCAATGGTCAGTGACACAGTAGTGCATTTTTGATCTTGTAGCATAATGCATTGTGCAGCCCATATTGGCACTTGGTCACTGTGAATGATAGAAGCCAACATGCCAATGTATGACAGATTGTGGTGCTTTTGTGGGGTGGACCTTTCCATCACTGGTCATGGGTGTACAATGCAGCAAACGCAAATGGCTTTGCTGCTGTTCGTCTGTAATCTGGCCATCTTACAGGCAGCTTGAATCTTGTCATAATTTCTCACCTAGGTTTGATGCATGACATTTGATGTCTCAGCAAATCCCAAACTTTGATGTTCACCTTGCCTGTCTCTTGGAATCTGCCAAAATATTCTGGGTGCCGCAAATGCATATTCCCACAGACCAACTGCACCTTGACCCTCCTCTCTCATACCCACCGCTGCTGGTGTGGTGGTGGGACTGACCTCCATCTCCACCCTAACCCCCCCCCCCTCCCTCTCCCTCATGCCTAGAGCTGCTGGTGTGGCAGTGGGACTGGCCTTTGACTACACCCTGACCCCTCTCTCTCATGCCCAGAGTTGCTGGTGTGGCAGTGGGACTGGCCTTTGACTACACCCTGACCCCTCTCTCTCATGCCCAGAGCTGCTGGCATGGCAGTGAGGCTGGCCTTTGACTACACCCTGGCCCCTCTCTCTTGTGCCGGAGCCGCTGGGTGGCAGTGGGACTGGCCTTTGACTACACTCTGACCCCTCTCCTCATGCCCAGAGTTGCTGGTGTGGCAGTGGGACTGGCCTTTGACTACACCTGACCCCTCTCCCTCGTGCCCAGAGCTGCTGGGTGACAGTGGGACTGGCCTTTGACTACACCCTGACCCCTCTTTCATGCCCAGAGCTGCTGGTGTGGCAGTGGGACTGGCCTTTGACTACACCCTGACCCCTCTCTCTCATGCCCAGAGCTGCTGGCATGGCAGTGAGGCTGGCCTCTGACTACACCTGACCCCTCTCTCATGCCCAAAGCTGCTGGTGGGCAGTGGGGCTGGCCTTTGACCACACCCTGACCCCTCTCTCATGCCCGGAGCCGCTGGCGTGGCAGTGGGACTGGCCTTTGACTACACTTTGACCCTCTCTCTCATGCCCAGAGCTGCTGGCGTGCCAGTGGGACTGGCCTTTGACTACACCCTGACCTGTCTCTCATGCCCAGAGCCGCTGGCGTGGCAGTGGGACTGGCCTTTGACTACACCCTGACCCCTCCATCTCGTGCCCGGAGCGCTGGTGTGGCAGTGGGACTGGCCTTTGACTAACCCTGGGTCCTCTCTCTCGTGCCCGGAGAGCTGGGTGGCAGTGGGACTGGCCTTTGACTACACCCTGACCCTCTTCCCTCGTGCCCGGAGCTGCTGGTGTGGCAGTGGGACTGGCCTTTGACTACACCCTGGCCCCTCTCTCCCATGCCCAGAGCCGCTGGCGTGGCAGTGGGACTGGCCTTTGACTACACCCTGGCCCCTCTCTCTCGTGCCCGGAGCTGCTGGTGTGGCAGTGGGACTGGCCTTTGACTACACCCTGACCCCTCTTCCCTCGTGCCCGGAGCTGCTGGTGTGGCAGTGGGACTGGCCTTTGACTACACCCTGGCCCCTCTCTCCCATGCCCAGAGCTGCTGGCGTGGCAGTGGGATTGGCCTTTGACTACACCCTGGCCCCTCTCTCTCATGCCCAGAGCTGCTGGTGTGGCAGTGGGACTGGCCTTTGACTACACCCTGACCCTCTCCCTCGTGCCTGAGCTGCTGGTGTGGCAGTGGGGCTGGCCTTTGACCACACCCTAACCTCTCTCTCATGCCCGGAGCTGCTGGCGTGGCAGTGGGACTGGCCTTTGACTACACCCTGGCCCCTCTCTCTCGTGCCCGGAGCTGCTGGCATGGCAGTGGGACTGGCCTTTGACTACACCCTGACCCCTCTCTATCATGCCCAGAGCTGCTGGCGTGGCAGTGGGACTGGCCTTTGACTACACCCTGGCCCCTCTCTCTCGTGCCCGGAGCTGCTGGTGTGGCAGTGGGACTGGCCTTTGACTACACCCTGGCTCCTCTCTCTCAGGCCCAGAGCTGCTGGCGTGGCAGTGGGACTGGCCTTTGACTACACCCTGACCCCTCCTCTCGTGCCCGGAGCCGCTGGCGTGGCAGTGGGACTGGCTTTGACTACACCCTGACCCCTCTCTCTCGTGCCCGGAGCTGCTGGTGTGGCAGTGGGACTGGCCTTTGACTACACCCTGACCCCTCCCTCTCGTGCCCGGAGCCGACTGGCGTGGCAGTGGGACTGGCCTTTGACTACACTCTGACCCCTCTCTCTCATGCCCAGAGCTGCTGGCATGGCAGTGGGACTGGGTTGAACTACACCCTCTCCTCATGCCAGAGCCGCTGGCGTGGCAGTGGGACTGGCCTTTGACTACACCTGACCCCTCTCCACTCATGCCCAGAGCTGCTGGGTGTGGCAGTGGGACTGGCCTTTGACTACACCTGACCCCTCTCCCTCATGCCAGAGCTGCTGGCATGGCAGTGGGGCTGGCCTTTGACTACACCCTGACCCCTCTCTCATGCCCAAAGCTGCTGGCGTGGCAGTGGGACTGGCCTTTGACTACACCCTGACCCTCTCCTCATGCCCAGAGTGCTGGTGTGGCAGTGAGGCTGGCCTTTGACTACACCTGACCCCTCTCTCATGCCCAAAGCTGCTGGTGGCAGTGGGACTGGCCTTTGACTACACCCTGACCCCTCTCCCTCATGCCTGAGCCGCTGGTGTGGCAGTGGGACTGGCCTCTGCGACACCCTGACCCCTCCCTCATGCCAGAGCCGCTGGCATGGCAGTGGGACTGGCCTTTGACTACACCCTGACCCCTCTCTCTCGCTCCCAGAGCCGCTGGCATGGCAGTGGGACCAGGTGCGGGCGCCAGCTTCGGCTCGCTTCCTGCCGACGCACGTGGCCTGCCACGAGACGCTCTCCACGGGTACGGCTGTGCTGCTGGGCGACACCATTCTCGAGCCCGGCGGACACCACTTCTTCGAGGTCAAGCTGCTGACCGACCTGTACGGCACGGACACGGTGGGTCGCGGCGCGCGCGGCCACGGCTGCCCAACCAGCGGCGGGCCGGTCTCCCGCTTTAGCAGTCGGTTGCTGGGTCGCTCTGCTTTGTGACGTATGCCATAGCTAGTGCCTGTGATGTGGTTTGAGTCATTACTGGCTGTTTGATTGCTATTTTGTGTGTTAACTGCAGCATGAGCCATGATGATATAAGCACGGTCATGATAGTTCAGCTGTATGAGCTGTCATAGTGAATGTTTTTTAACTCGCAAAATTTTAGCGCTTGATTTCTTCCCTACCTAATGTATAAATAGGTTATCGAAATGTGTGGCTGTGCTCTGCCAACCCTGCACCTGCCTTGCCACCATATTCTCACGTTCTGTATATGCACGCCCGGCTGCCGCAACCAGCACGTGTACTGACCCGCAGAGGCCGCAGACAGCCGGCCAGACGGGGACCGGGAGCTAACGGTGTGCCGCCCGCAGATGGTGGGTCTGGTGACGGACCAGTTTGATCCGGACTCGGCCAACCAGCGATTCGTGAGCCTCCTGGGCGCCGATTCCCACTCGTGGGGCCTCTCCTTCCATGGTGAGGCCGCAGCGCCCGGTACACTGTCTGCACGGCTGTGCGGGTTGCGCGCTGCTCGCTGACGCACGTCTTAATCACAGACCCGGTCAACTGTTCTGACGTATTTGCATCGGGAATAGAAAATGTGTCGTGTGTCGCTTATACTTTACCTACTGCTCGTTCGCACTCCATGAAGTTTGTGGTATTTGGGTTATGTTGCTGGTGATTGTTTGGGTCGTGTTGTTGGTGATTGTTCGGGTCGTGTTGTTGGTGATTGTTCGGGTCGTGTTGTTGGTGATTGTTCGGATTGTGTCGTTGGTGATTGCTCGAGCTGTGTTGTTGGTGATTATTTGGATTGTGTTGTTGGCGACTGAGGTTTAAGTGTGCGTCCGATGCCGGGCGGCTAGGGTGAGAGACAAACGGCGTGTTTAGCCCCAGCAGCTGAGCGCGTCGTAAATTCTCAACCAAAGTGACGTCATTTGGCGCCAGTCTTGGAGTTCGGCTGCTCGGGTGGCAAGAAGCGCAATGCCATACGCAGTCACGATGTTGTCCGTGATGCTTCGTGATGTGCGACTGACGTGGACCGTTATGGGCCTCGGCACCCGCCAGTCAGTTAACTATCGGCATCTCACACCGTCGCTTCAGACCGGCCCGATCGTCGACTCCAAGGGTGCGCGCTGTCCTGACGCTGTCCTGACGCTGTCCGGACTGTCCTGATGCCGTCCTGACGTCCTGATGCTGTCTTGACGCTGTCCTGACGCTGTCCTGGCGCCGTCCTGATGCTGTCCTGACGCTGTCCTGACGCCGTTCTGACGCTGTCCTGGCGTTGTCCTGACGTTATCCTGACGCTGCCCTGACGCTCTCTTGACGCTGTCCTGGTGCTGCGCGTCGCCAGGTACGATCCGCCATGCTGGCCGCTCGCAGCCCTACACCAGCCTCTTCGGCAAGGGCTCCATCATCGGCGTCTACGCCAACCTTCGCGCCGGCACCGTCGAGTTCTTCCTCAACCGACGCTCGCTGGGTGAGTCGGGGCGCTCACTGGGTGAGTCGCGGCGCTCACTGGATGGGTCGATGGCTGACTGGGTCACTCATCGGCCATGAAGCTGTGACGCCGTCGTCAGGTGACCGTTACCTGGTAAGAAATCGCTCGACTTATTTGCTAAGGTTCGTTATTGGCGGACGCTGGCTTCGTTTCACGGCGCGTTCTTGTGTCTTGTATCGCAGTTTTATCCAGAAATGGTTGCGTGCTTGGCCTCTGAGGCATGGCACCCACTTGTCGAGCGCCCTCCGGATCGGCTGACCGCCCCTCGTGACGTGTTGACCGTCCGCGGTAACGACCGCTCGCCTGTTGACACGCCTCTGATTGTCCGGCTCGGTCAGTGGCCGACGGTGTCCTCGGGCACCCCAGCCGCCGTCGCGGCCCCGTGTCCGTTCGCCACACCGCTGGCGATGACCCGTCCCCCTCCCGCGTGAGGTGCGCTCCTCCCGCCCTCCGCTGACCGTCCTGACGGCAGGGGTGGCGTTCTCGGGCCTGAGCCGACCGGGCGACGGCGGCGGCCTGCTGCCGGCGTTCTGCACCACGGCGGCCAACACGTGCGTGCGCCTGGTGACGGCGCTGTCCGTGGCCGACTCGCTGCAGTTCCAGGCGACGGCCGTCATCAGTCGCAGGTGGGGATCACGCGCTGTGATGGCAGAGGCTGTCTCACACGGAGGGGGGGGGGGGGGGGGGGGGGGGGCAGGCGACGTCGCTGATCGCTAAGTCCAGTGGCTGATCGTTGCTCAGGTCATCAACCACGGAGGCTGAGGTTTGATGACTCGGGCGTCGACTGGGGTCACCAATCAGTTGAGGTCGCTTGGAAGGGTGAGATTGTGCTTTGGTGTTGCGGTATCGTGACATAACAGGCTGTGAACGGTCTGTCTTGTCCGGAGGTCAGGCATAGACGTCATTTGATCCTACTGACACGTTGGGGTCACAGGGGTCACACATGCCGGGTCAAAGGCCTTGGGATCAGGGGGATCCTGGCGCGATTCCGACCAGAAGATATCCACTGGCACAACCAGCCAGACGTTGCCAAGTCCTTTCCCGCCGTCGGACCGCCATCCCAGTTCCCCGTGCTGGTAAGGCTTTTGGAGCAGTCGTGGATCGTCACTGCAGCCATGCTGCTATTGTTACGGATGTGCTGCGATTGCCGTTGGTTGCTAATATCACGTGCGATCTGGGTAGCCTGCCGCACTGGTCGCTGGCGCTGCCAGCGCCGATCTGCCGTCTGATCCGACGCTTCCCGTGGCTGGACTACGTGGGTGTGCCGCGCGACAGCTGGCCCGCCGCCGCCAGCTGGTGGTGGTGGACGACTCGCCGGCTCCGGAGGCGCCGCCCGCCCGGCCGGCCAGGCCGCCCGGTAAGGGCTCGGTGGCGGCAGCGTTGCGGCGTCTGTCTGGTGCGCACAGTGACGCATTGGATCTCGTTAATTGGACGTTTCTGTCGTCGGCCTTACTGTTGGCAGTGGTCCTCATTGTCCCGTGGGCTCTCATTCACCTTTCGTTTATCGTCCTGTATTTCGAGCTGCCTTCTGGTCCGTCTCCGTCGTTTTCCGCGCGCTTGTGGTAATTTCTTCCCTTAGTTTTCAGCTTGTTCTGTCGTCTATTTGCGTTTGGTTTGTCTTGTTAAAACCGTGTTGCGGTCTGAACGTTCTCATCGTCTTGGAAATCACCATCTTACCCGGGTCCTCTTTCCTCACGTTCCCATGTTTCTGTGTCCCTCGCCTCGGCGAGGGTGAGAACTGCGGTGGTTGTGTTTACGCCGGGCATCCACTGTAGGGTAGGGGGGGGGGGGGGGGGGGGGGGGGTAGGGTGGGGGGTAGTTTTAGAGCGAGTGAGTGAGCCACCTTTAGTTTAGAGTGTTTGTGTGTCCATTTCATGCCATGTGCTGTTAGGTTTAGACAACGTGCTTGACACATAAATCTCAGCGATCTCGAAAATTACTGCAAAAGCGCTCTTTCGAACTGCTGAATCGCGGCAATTCCACATTCATCATCTCCATAATACCTTGCGTGCAGTTCCATTCATCGTCGCCAGATGTTTCCCTCAAACGATTGACCGGCGGCCGTGCAGGCGCGTGTCCGCCGGCCTCTGAGGTCTGACGTCGTGTCGTCCCTGACGCGTCTCTCCCCTCTCCCGACAGACGCTGGCGCTCGCCGCGCCTGGCCGGCTCGCCGGACGCGGCGGCGCCGGCCGGGGCGGGCCTCCACTCGCGGCCCTCCTGGCTGGAAGACACGCCGTCGCCGGCGCCGGCGCCGACGACGGGGCCGCGCAGGTCTTGCGCGTGATAACGCTCGCCTCGCCGGAGGAGGAGGGGAGGACGAGGAAGAGGAGCTGCATCGGCTGGCCGGCGCGCCGCGCACCGTGCTGACGATCGTGCCGAGCCGCCGGCGCAGCGGCCGGCCGGAGCGCGCTGGCGCGCCGGCGCGCCGCCAGCACGGCGCAGGACGCTGGCGGCGGCGCACGCCGAGGCCGACACGCCGACGGCCGGCTGGAGGTGCGCCGGAGGGAGGGGCGCAGCCGACGCAGTGCCGTCCCAGCAGGGAGGGGGCCGCAGCGGAAGACGCGGCGGACGGAGCGCGTTGCAGAGGGGCGGTTGGAAGGAGGGCGAGAGGAAGATGGTGGTGGTGACGCCTCGCGAGCCGTCACTGAGAGGGCTCGCTGCAAAGGACGAAAAGTGAAGAGAGATGTTACAAAGGGCGCTGGATGATGACTTACGACAAGAGATCGCCGGTGGCGACTTGCGACAAGAGATCGCGGACAGTGGCGCGCCTGAATATAAGCGGAGCTGAAGACGTTCTGCGGAGAGAAGACGGAGACATGGCACGTGCGGATAGAAAAATGGTGATGCTCCCAGGGGTACTCAAGAATGCATGTCGCAAGACATAATGGTCAGAGACATCGCGCATACTTCTGGTGCCGACAGGGTTCCCCACAACGCTGCCCAGAAAAGGAGCAATCTGTGCGACACTGCAGGAGTGCCAAAGAGAGGCTTGTTCCAAACGATACTCACGCGGACTGTCAGGGCAGAAAGCTCTTCGAATGCTCCCGATAATGTCACCCACACAGACATCTCCGAGCGGGCGGGCAGTGAAGAAGCAGACTTCAAGTATCACGATGGAGTCTGGACGCCTCCCGGCCAACGCCGAGGGATGCATTTCCGAATCTAGGAACTGACGAACACGTAACCTGTGGGGTACCTGTGCGGTCTGAGGAACACCCCGCTGGTGCCGACGATGTGACCGAGATCGAAAGAAGAACTTTCTCCCCGCGATTTTGTCACCAAAGGAAGGAAAAAGACGAGCCGCACGAGGCGGGCGACTCCCTGGCGGCTGACAGGAGAGTCTCAGAGGAGCTTGTCGATGGAGTCGGCCAGGTGGACGCCGCGCCGGATAGCGCGGCGGTGCGGTGCCCGCAGAGTGCCGCCTCGACAGTCCGTCCTGGTGCCAAGCAGCCCGCCGGGCAGCGAAGAAGAAACCCAGCGGATATGAGGGGGACTGGCCCTGGTGCCGAGATCTCAGCTCGGAGGACCCGTACGGCGACGGTGGCGGCAGAGCGCGGACGGCTGTGGGCGGCGTGACGTCATCCGTGACGTCCGGCACTGGAGGCGGACGGCATACCGGCCTCGGACACTGGCTGCGACGTCATCCGTGACGTAACCGCCGTCGAGGCGGAAAGCATGCCGGCCTCAGACGCCGGCTGTGACGTCATCCGTGACGTTACCGCCGTCGAAGCGGACAGGGTACCGGCCTCAGACGCCGGCTGTGACGTCATCCGTGACGTTACCGCCGTGGAGGCGGACAGCGTGCCGGCCTCGGACGCGCACTGTG